AGCTTCAGATGAGTTTTTCTCTCCAGTCCTTTTGCTGTCTCTCCTCATTTTGTCTGGTTTATTGCATTTGGGGACAAAGAGTTTTTTTTGTGCAGACAATGTGATGGTGAAATACATGATTTGGTAAGTGGACCACCTGTAATCTTGTCTGCACAGCTCTTTTTCTTATGCTTGCATCTTAAAATGTGAGATTTGGATTTGCACTTTTTCCTTCCTTTTCAACACAGCCTCCCTGGTACAAAGCATTGGCTTTATTGTATGTAACAGGTCCTAGAAAGCTGGTTAGATCTTTATTCTTGAGCTTGGCACAAATAATGTGGCATGAGCATTTTCAATGCTGTTCTCATTATGGAGGTACAACTTTTCCCTAGAACTCTACAGTCATTCTGAGAAAAGAATTGGGAGCAATAGGAGTGAGTGGCAGCTCTCTCCTCAAACCTGTTCTATTAACTGATGAGAAAGGATGGCGTTTGCTTCCTCTGCAAATAAAAGGGATAAAATAGCATTAGTGATGCCTGAAAATATCACATAAAAAGGGGTGGTAAATGGCAGCCCTGGTATTTGTTGAGTGTGGATGTTGTTCTTATTCAGTCTTGGTCATGATGAGAAACTTGCCTTCCAGACCTGACTACATGACAGGCTATTTTGAGGAGATAGTTTCTTTACATTGCTTGGCTATACAAGGCTTTTAAAAAGGTATATATTAGAAGGAGGCAGAATGATTACATTACAAAAAATCGTGCATGGAAATGGAAGCTCCTCCAATCTTTGAAAGATTTTCCTTATCATTATATAATAAGAAATACATAACTGTGCCTATTTTTACCATAATTTGCTTTCATTTGATGACATTCAATAGTAAGATTTATTATTACCCGCATGGAAAATATCCTGCCTGGGGGTGGTTGAAACAGATCCTGCAGACAAGTCATCAATCAGCTCGTGTTTATCTCTTCAGAGATCAGTGATATCAGTGGCAGGAACAATTTCAACCAATCCAAAAGTATTTACTGATAATGAAAGGAAATGTTCATGTGGATTTATACTGCATCACTCACCAGAGGTCACACAACGTTTTTGCAGGACAGCTGATTTATTGAGCCTCACTTAAAGATGGGGCATGGAGGGCTCAGAGACACCAGGGCAGCAGCCTTTACCCTGACATGTGCTCTGGCCATTGCTCTTTGTGGGAGCGGGTCTAACTCTCCTTGTAGAGGGTGGCATGCAAAGGGCTTTAAGGTAATACTGGACTCTGTGTCCCCATTGCTAACAAGTGCAGCTGAAAGGATTTAAGCCTCATTGCAGACAAAAAGATCTTTTACATCAGATGAACAGCATGCAAAACAATTGTCTTATATTTCTAAGAAGTGAATTGTCGCTTCTCACTTTGCTGTGGTGTTGAAGAGCAGAAGGTCTTATGTTTGTGTCCCTGAGAGAGAGGGGTTTTCACAATTTTCTGACAGCATTCAGAATATTTATAGGTATTGACTGCAAGGTTCAGGACAAAGATCTGTTGTCCTTGAGGCGAAATAACAACCCTGACTTTACCTAGTGTTTGCCCCTCAGTGTAATCAGTCTGGAACTAAGACTGCAATTGTGATTTAACCCGTGTATGACAGCAGTTTTCTTTCTTACTTTTGCTTTTTTTCTTTGTAAGATTCAGTATTTGTCCTTAGTGAAACAAAGAGCACTTTGAATCACAACACCAAGTGTATGTTTTTTTAAAAAGTTATGAAGGGATCTTTTTTTGTCTGATTTCTATGTTTTTGTCTAAGGAAATCTACTGGAACATTCATTTCTGTTTGAGAGGAAACTTGCTCTGTGTGGACAATAAAGATGTTAAGATCAGGATGAATGTCTATGGGAGATAATAATAGTGAATAAAAAAATGCACCAGTCCAGTATTCATATTTTCCAGGAACTGCAAGAACTCAGTTCTGGGTTGTGTTTTAAATCTAAGCCCCATTGTTCCTGACTGGGTTCTGAGTCTGTCAGAAAGACTTCTTCTTTGTTCCTTTGAGCAGCTTCAATCTGAAGCTTTTTGGACCAGTTTCATACCTCAAGCAAAATTTTTAAGATATAAATGTATTTCCATTCTTCCAGCTTTAGAATGTGAAGCAAAAGCATCTTCTTACTGTTTCCTGTTGAACATGAGCAGAGTTGACACCGGCGAAAGTAGTTTGACCTATGATGAGCCTGTGCATGTGGGACGACCAGCAGTTATCAATGGTACGTGATACGTGCCACTAACATACTGCTCCTCTTATGCCAGGGAACATGCCTTGTGAGGCAACAAGCACTAGCAAGAGCTTCACCTCAGGCATCCTGATAGCCTGGCGTATGTGTTGTGGCGATGCTGACTGTACAGGCTAACATGATTTGTTCTCCCGAGAGATACAAGGTGGGTGAGAACATTTTTTTCCTGTTGACGCTGTTGCACTTGGTAGCATTAATCATACACTTGCAGTGTCAGGACCAGAACTTAGTTGTGCCCTTTTACAGATGAATACCCATGGCTGGTGATACAGAGTTATTTTTCTTCCTTTTTTCTTTCTCAGTGAATATTGGCTTTTGATATAAAGCAAATGGCACTTCAGCTGTGAAGCACTGAGGGTAACCCACCCTCTGATGCTTTGGCATTCACCCTGGCCACCTGTAGGAGCCTGTGAAGCTGTTTCCTGTTCACAGATGGAATCTGTGAGTGGGTAAAGTTATTCTCCTTGTAAGAAAAGTTATTTGGAAATGCTGTTGTTCCCCTTTTAACACCAGTTAAACTTCTTCCCTTTCAAAATGCCTACGTAAGGTTTTGTGCCCCAGCCTAGCACCCACCTTTTGCCTCTGTGTCTGTTGTTCTCCAGTGTCACATTGTGTATGGAACAGTCTTTCGCACCAAGAACTCGCAGAGTCCTAGATTCCCGTGTCACACTGCATCTGTAAGCTTAACTCTGCTATTGACAGATTGCTGGTCCATGAGAGGGCTGTGACAATACAACCTGGCATATATTAGCCTGGAATATACTCAGGAGCTTGTTGCCGTCAGCAAACCTGGGGTCCCTAAGAGGTCATTGTCAGCTCTGCGCGGGGTGAAGCCATGCAGTACGATCGTGTTAGTGCTAGCTCAGAGCATGAACTCCTGAGAGGGGACTTGGCACTGGCTTAGGCTCAAGGGCAATTGTTGGAGCAGCTTGTGAACAGGCAGCTTGCCAGTTAGATGGGCATAGCTGTGGACAGCTAATAGACCGTGTGTGTGTGTGTGAAGGGCAGGCAAGATGCACAGCTGGGAAATGGGAGATTTCTCTAAACTTCTGCTCTGAGGGGTAGGAGTACATTCAGGCGATGCCAATCCATGGAGAAGTAAAGAAATGACTTCTGGCAGCTCAGACAGGTTCTTGGTCCGTCTGAATCTGACAGAATGCTGTGGGGGAGAACAGGAGATGTCATGGTTAATGAGTATGGAAATTATATCGGTAGCTTGGCCATCTAGGTTTTAAATGTTGTCAATCTGTAACAGGCAATACTTCAGTCTAACATTTTCTGGCTGCCTAGTTTAAGGCACAAAAGCAGGCAGCCTCCCTAATGAGTCAGTATCTGTAGACAGCAAGCTGTTGATAGCAAAGCAGAAATCTTGGCTTCTCATCTCAATAAGTTTAAATTAATCAAAAAAGATGGTGGGCAGGAGAAGAAGAGGGGTTGTTTTCATTTGTTTTCACATCTTTGACTCACCTGACAAACTGAATTCCCCATCATTTTTCTGTCTCCCTGCTAGGCCCTCAGGAGCATTGTCTTAATTCCACTCCAGCTCATCAGCTATGCAGTGACCCTCTCACCCAGCTCATCTTTGCATCCTGGAGAGTGTTTAGAATCTGTGCCACAAGTGCTGGGATAAGGTAAAACCTATTTACTGTAAACATATTGCCAGCCAGCATTTCAGTCCAGCAAGGAATAATGACTGAAACTCCAAGACAGGGGTGTTGTATATCTTTTAACTGGTATATGGAAAGAATCCTCTTCATGTCTAATGAGTCTGTGGCTCTTGCAGACATCCAAGTGGGCTTTGCTGTCTCCAGAAGAGAGAGAAAGTGACTCTGGGAAGGCAGAGTGTGGAATCTGACACTACTGTGTAATTGAGGAAAAAGAGGTCATATGCATTATTTATGAGCAGAAGGCTGGGCTTAATGTTAACAAGTGAGAAGAAAAACGGCTTCAAAACACTGGCTTTCTGCTCTTCCCTGTAAGAAAGGCTTTTGTTTTAAACTGCTTGCATTTTAGAACAAGAGAAAGACAGAGCTGTTATTTATACCATGCCTTATTTTGTGTGTGTGTGTGTGTGTGTGTGTGTGTGGTGGTGTACAAGATTGAGGGAGAGGCAGGGACTGCCCCAAGGAGTGCACTCTCTGTTCGCTTAAGCTGTGGCAAAGATGTGTCATGCCTGCTTCCCTGTAACTAGCTAATCCCAATCAGCTCTAGGCAAAAGGTTTCATTGCAAGAGAGAACCAAGCTACTGTTCAGCATTTCCACTGGGCAGGGACCGTTTCTAAAGCAAAGGAATTCTCTCTGTATCACTCTATTCACAGATGCCCTCTTGCAACCACTGGTCAGCTTTGAGGTTGGATGAGCTGATCTTGTGGCTTTTGTCCTCTTATGGATCCCCCACCAGCGGGGTTTGTCTGTCTGGTGTTGGGGTATGTGCTGGCACTGGCATGAGTGGTCCAGCTCAGGCTGTGGCAAAGTGTCACTGCAAAGTCACAGAGATGTGCTGGGGTTTTGGTTTTTAATGTGTTCTGATGATCTTCTAGAGAAACCAGGCCTGGCAAATGGCAAGTTTTGCTCTTAATAATGGCAGTGTGTGATTATTGCCAGCAAGAGATATGTTCCAAAGGGCATGGGATGCGGAGCTGCCTCTTTTCCCAGGAAAACAGTGTGGGCTGATGCAGGGCAAGTCCCTCCCTGTGTAGACATCACCTCCCTTATGCTGGAGTTAGGCTGTCACACCTAGAGGCCCCATGCAGAGCTTGTGCTCTCCCTGGACCTCTTTACAGATTAGCACATCCATTAAAGACCCCACCACAGAGGACTTAAGGGCTCTTCCTCCCATTCACCCAGCAGACATAAATGACACTTGCTGCGGGTGGCTGCTAACTGCAGCCCTGCTTGGGTTGGCGTCCATGACTGGCATGTTTGTATTGCAAATCTGGCACTAATCCATGAGTTTGTGTTTGCAAAAGTTATATCTGTTATTTTCTGTAGGTCCCAAAAGGTAGAAACCTCCAACACTTCCCTATGCAGAGGCCATGAGGCTCTCCTGTCACCATTTCTGCATTACAGCCGGTTGTCCTCTCTGTGGTTTAAAACATAGGCGCTTTTTTCCTTCCTGACTGCTTCCTGGAGTGGTCCCAAGCAGCCATTACTTTGTTTCTGGGAAGAAAATCAGCCCAGTGGGGTAAGGTGAGAATAATTTGGGTTCTGTAAAAGTCAGGAAGCAAACAGTGAACACCATTGCACTGGAACTGATGGGGGGAAAAAGTACTCTGTTCTTGATTTTTTAACACTGGCTCATTGATTTTTCTCTTGGTTCAATCAGCAGTTACTGCTTCTTCTTAATCCAGGTTCATAACTACTTAGCGGAGTGGGTTCTTCACAGAAATACCCCTGAGAAATCCTAACAACGGGGTGAAGAAAAAGCTTAAGACCTCTGGGATCTTCCCTGTGGCCCAGAACGAATGTATTAGAGCAGGGAATTGCTGTTTTTAATAGGCCTCACTTGAAAGTCACTTTGCAGATGGGTTTGTGGCTGCACATTTTATATGCCCAGCCACAGGGGCCAGGAGACATATATCTGTGTGCTGACAACAAATAGAGCTGCTTTTCTGCTATGAAAACAGGAGTCCTGTTAAGTTTTTTTTTACCTTGTCTCCAAGCTTATTATAGCAAAGAAGGTAATGGCAGGAAGGACTAATGACTAGGGATGATTTCTGTAAAGGTGGGATTGGCACAGGAGAGGCTGGAGGTGAGGCACGGCAATGGGGGAGGGAGGCAGCCGTGTGGGGACTTGTGAGTCATGCATCCTCCAGCAAGAAGCACTGACTCACTGTGAGGATGATCACTCTGCTGTTCCCTTTCTGCTAAGGCTGAGGAAGAGGCAGTTGATACTCAGCTTCGCCAGCTCCCCGGTTAGAGGGTGAGATGTAGAAGGGAAGAAGCTGGAGACCATGGAAAACTGCAGTGAGAGGTGAAGGCGAGCTGTGGCAAGCGCAGCCTTGGTGGCTGGTGTTTCTGCAGAGGGTCCATGCAGCAGCTGGAGAGCAGAATCCGCCAGTGCACGGGCTCAATGTGGAACAGCAGTTCTGCACCCAGGCTGTGCACTGGAGTCTTCAATACCTGTTTGTGTTCCCTCCACCGCAAGGTCAAGGCTTGCGTGCTCTCACACCTGGGAGAGGTGCCATCCACCTCCGCTGTGGATTACAGTTAAGTATGGTCAATGAGGATGTAGCTCTGATGCTTATTATCTCCAGTCCAGCTCATAATGCTTAACAGATGAAGAGAGCCATCGCTTAATCTGCAGTGTTGGTGGATTGCTAAAAGAAAATACATCTTTTTGTTATTTGTATACACAGGAGAGGAATGCTGCATGGCTGAGGAAAGAGACCAGAACTGCCATGGAGAAAGGAGGAAAGAAAATGCCTAAGAGAATCCAAAATCACCCTAAAAGCTGATTTGCACTCATATGGTTACAGCTTCAAAGAGATTTCTTATAAGCAGAGTGTAAAGAGCCCCAATACACAACGTGGGGTTGTAATTATTTTCAAAGCAGTGAGTGACTCTGAGTGTGTTTGTGCAGTGAGCACTGAGGGCAGGGGCTGTAACTGCAGAGTACAGCCAGTCCCCGACGCCGGGATCACAAAATGTGATCGCAATTGCAAGTGAGGGCTGCAGTTTTCTCTCGCTTTACAAGTTTTATGTTGGTAATGTGAAGTAATTAATGAACCAGAACTGTGCTGCAGAGGGGGAATAATTTTAATGCTCTTTTTAAAGACCCTACTAAATCAATGGGGCAGTTTAAAAAGGAATGATAGCCTGGAGATTAGGAAGCTTAATATGAGAAATTAGGCAGGGTTTTGAGTGATTGAATCTCAAGCAGGCAGGTACTTTGTGATCTGCTGCGTGGGCATTTGTGTGTTTGGTGCACGCTGGCAAAGGCAGAACTTGCTGCTTTTTAGGCCTATCTAGTCAGGCTCTGTAGTCTTGGTCAGGAGTAAGGATCCCCGAGACTTGGAAGAGGCACTGAGAGACTGTAAAGCACAAGCTCTGCTCCTGCTTTCCACTGTGCAGGAGCAGTATTTTTCCACTCCTGTCGCAGGTCTTCTGACTACCAGCTACATAAGCGATGTCTACGTGGTCTTTTGAAGGCAGATACGAGCTTACTCTGGCCGCTGTCCAAGAGAACCAGAAGCCATGTAGCCGCAGCTAATGTGCTACATGCCCAGATTACTGTGGCCTGCTGAGAGGCAGGATATTAGCTTGAGCTCAGGGCTGTGGCCAGCTCTAGACCAGGAGTGAAGCAAGTTTTCATCTGCATGCAGAAGGGCATGTAGACCAGGACAGCCAGCTTGCATAGGATTTGGAAAGCTGGTTTTTTTTTTCAATAGGGCACATTTGCTGACCCCATGAAGATCAGGCAGACAGAACTCACTGTGCATCCCACCCCAGGCAGGAAGAGCAATACCACATGGTTGGCCTCAGAGCCATCCAGCTTCTTGGTGGCCAAATAAAACTGATTTATGAGCTCCATCCAAATTCTGTGGGCCTCCAGTTGGCTATTCCTGTTGTAGGCATACCCAGAGTTTCTCTTCTGTTTTAGATGGCAGTGACTCATTATGGACAGGGAGGGTTTGATTTCAGTCATCACTGGCTCTGAGTTTCTCAGGAGCTGTATAATGTGACACCTGATTGTCCACATTGAATTCTGAGCTGTGAGGAGGGTGTACATGCACATGTGATGTGTTTGTGCAGTCCAACTCAGAAGAAAGGCTGTCTCTGTTTTGGATGAATGCCTTTGCTGGCTTTTTTCTCCCTAAAATTTTTTATTGTCTTCATTTTGAAGGCTGCTTCACTTAAGAAATTTCACCATGTGCTATTCTTTAATGTTAATGAAGGAAGCACTCTGTGTGTGTGTACATAGATGTGCGTATGTACACATCCTAAGTATAATACAAGAAAGCAGCAGTGTTTATATGTAAGTACATACACAAAATCCAGTCTTGTTTATCTCAGAATGATACATAAGATATCAAGGATCCACAACAACCACTAAGAATGCAGTATACCGTGTACTGGGCAGTATCATGGTGCAGTGAATCAAGGACCTCTTTTCCTTTCACTCAAAACACGTATCCCCCCCTCCTGCTCTTATGCTTCCCCTTCTGTAACAATTCTGGATCATAAAGCATTTTAAAAGCATGAATTTGAGTAACTGTCTCAGTTACTGAGGGATGAAGCTTTAATCAAAGCAGACCCATCAGGTGAAATCCTGGCCCTGTAAGAGTCAATGGCACAACTCTCACTGATCCTCCATGGAGTCAGGATTCTGCTCGTATCTTGTAACAATTGCCTTTTCTGAATTTGAGGCATTAGCCCTAGAATGGAATAGAAAAGCTAAAAATAGAAAACAGTCTGACCTAAAATAGTTTGACATCCATATCATAGTGCTTATTGTCTGAGAATACATCTAAATGACATGTTGATTAATCCTGAATTGAGGAGAATGTGATTCATTGGCAAGAACTGGGACTCTACCAATAATTCAGTACCAAAAGCTAAACAGCCATTGACTCAGTGGGAAATGTTTCCAGTAAAACTTTATTTGCAAGCTGTCAGATTCATCTGCCATTTTCCCAGCTACTTTTATTCCTTTCTGAGCGGCCTGGACCAAACCCTCCAACCCAGTTCATGTGGGCTATCGGCTACTTGACTAAAGCAACTCTCCCCCCTGCTATTTACTGAAAACAAAACAGTCACATCAAGGCAGGTTGCTGTGAGTGGCTTTTAAGAGAGATGTCGGTTGCACTTAGTGCGCAGCTGGGGCCAAAGTGAAGCCCTGTAAGTGCCTGAGCCATTCAGCTGGAAATTACATCTTGTGTAGGAACCTAAATGCCAAATTCCCCAGTCCCCCTCTCAGCCAGAACTCCAACAACTCCCCTTTTCCCATGGGTCTTCTTCACTTTCCTACAGATGTAACTGTGTTCTCCTTCAGATACAATATATCATATAGGGGAATGCCACAATCTAAAGCAAAACGAGCTGTCACCCGGGACTTCAGATGACACTTAGCCACATTAACGAGTAAACAGAGCCCACAGGAAAGATGCCTTTTGAGATGCACTGTTTGTGTCAGCAGTGCTAAGACTAACGAACCAAAACAATGAGGGGAAAAAAGGGAGCTGTCAGAAGCACCTAAAGCTATAGGTGCAAAGTCAGATCGGTTGAGAAAAGCTCAAACATGAGGAATCTTCAGGACAGTCCATAAATTATCTTTTCCATAAGCAGTAAGACAGTGCATACTCCTGGCTTTGTGATGACAGTAAAGCACTAAAAGAAAGTCTAAATGTAGAGAAGGGAGCAGGCTTGAATGTGCTTCTTATTTTGGAGCCTTCTCATGGCAAGCAGGCAAGACTCGAGCCAAAGTCTTCAGGACACAGAAGGAAGCTGGATCCGTTATGCCACCACATGGCTCATGAGCAAGCTGGTATGAAGAAAGGGATCAACTATGCATTGTTCAGAAGGAGCCCCACAGAGCATGCAGTGTGACGGGCATCCCCAGGGCACTGGGAGGCAATGTATCAACAGTCGGTGGAACTGGTCCAAATTTTTAGCAATGCAACTGAATGATAATTTCACTCTTGCTGATGGGGGAGCCCAAAAGTGCACCAGAAAAAAAAAACCCAGCTGGTGGTAGGGTACAGAAAATGGTGCTGGGGAAATGGCTTTGCAGTCCTTGCTGTTGCTAATCCCCTCAATTCTGACTCTTGTAGTCTACACTCTCAAACTAATTACTCTTCCATTGAACCACTTCTTAAATAACAATCCTCTGAAGGAACCTTTCAGATCACTAACATGAGGAGAGGAGAACGGTATTAGCTACAGTTCTTATATTTGTGGTTACTTCATGTTTATACAAACAAAAGTGCTTGGGCTTGAATTAACAATAGCTGTAATTTGGGTTTTGTTCCTTCAGTGATCCCCGAATTATGCTTGTGTACATAATTTGGTACCAGAGGCAGAATAAACATCAACTGTAATAGCTGAATTTTTAAGGTTAATACTAAGGCTAAGTACGTAACATTTCTCTTTTGAAGAAGAGAGCATGTGTGCTCTGGGTGAGGGGGAAGGTGGAAACCACGTCTGCGAGAGCAATGGGTGATGGCTTAGTTCTGCATGATAAAATAAATAACTTCGATTAACTTCAAGCTCCAGTACCTCAGATGTTTGTTGTCACAGAGCAGCAGCTTGGCTGATTGGCAGCTCTGGTTTAGTCGACATGTGTTAACAGAAATTGCTCAATTTACACAGAGTACTTCAATCTGCTGTTTTAGAAGTTTGTCTCACAAAGAGCAGCATTTCAGCTTTTGACTAAATGGAGGACTTGTAAGGGGTATTAAAGAAATTGCTAAAGCTTCTGCAAATGCTATAGGTCAGACTGCTGACTGGGATGCGTAGCTTGCACGTGTCACTGCAGATACTTCCCAGATAATGGTACTGATTGAGATTTTAATCTGGACAAAGTGCTGGAGGCAACTTTCTTTCCAGCACTCAATTATCTTGATGATAATATGCTTTTTTCTTTCCTGTGTTCAAAACGTGTGGTCTGCTGCAACTGTGCAGTGTGACTACAGGGCTGCTCAGAAGGGGAAAAAACCCCAGTGAACAGAATTCATGCCACAGCTAAAGGGCACTTGGAGCACAAGTCCCATAGCATGGAGGACAATGTATTTTTACCTTGGATGGATGAGACGTGAGAAAGGCTGCATTTCTTCCCACAGGCTACAGGATGACTCCTTACTGGTTCTCAACAGCCACATAGGAATAGATTTGAGGCACAGCCTGCTGCTAGGACTATGTAGTATGTTGTAGGGGCAAGACTATCATTTTATTGTGCATATGCATCTTGTATCCTCTCTCATGGGATGCTGATCCATAACAGAGTCTTCTAGAGTCTCACACAACACAAAGAATTCAGACTAGTTTCCCACGGACATGCTCCATAAAAGAATTTCTTAGAAGAGATAACTCAGCCAGGAAGTGGGAACTAGGGGGCCAGATTCCTTCATTCAAGTCAATCTCCCATCGGTAAAGGATTTGAAGAATTGTCCCTATATGACTAATTCCAACTCTGCTTCCCTGAGTTCAGTAACAGTTTCTAAAGTAGAAGGGTGAAGCCATTTGAGAGAATCAAGTTTTATTTGCTTTTTATTCATTAAGGATTTTTTTGGCTAGATTGAATTTCTAATAATATTTTATTAAAATTTATGAAATCTAGAATTACTTTTCAATATCTATATCATCTTCTGATCCTTAATACTTTTCATCAAGCTCAAGGAATGAAAACAAACTCAGCTGTTCCATGTTTGTTCATAATTGACTTTTACCAGGGTTGTGTTAGCATTGTTACATCCTCATTATTAGATGATGGCAGAGTGCACATTTCTGGGACAAGGCAGAATACCCATTCTTGCCTTCAGCAGTTTGCAACTGGAAATTAGAGTGTACCCAGTCTGCTAGGAGAGCCAGAGACCGTGCTGCTGCTTTCACAGCCACCTCTGTCCCTTCCTCTACATTGTCTGCAGAGCACACAGTGAATTTGGCTCATTTTCTTTGTTTATGTGTCCAGTTGATTTGATGCCTGAAGTGAATGCACACACTCTACACAATGCACAGAAGATTTTGGCTTTTTATGGCTAATTGAAAGTCTTTCCATTTATGTTAGATTAAGCTGTATTGGATTTAGTTAAGCTAGTGCTGGGTAGCCACTTTTATTCTGCACTAAGAGTGATTTGTGTCTATTTACCTTCAATCCATTCCTAATTGGCTTGCACTGAGCTGAACTAACACCTGATTTATGCCCTCAATTATCCCATTTCAGCCAACAGCTCAGGCATGCTGTCCGGTTCCAGCAACTGAACGAGTTAGCGCACATCAGTTGAGGCACAGTAACTGCAGCTTGCCTTGCTTTAGCCTGCAGCAAACGTGAGGTTCAGTGTGTCAGCTTAACCTCAGGGCCAAGAAAAGGAAAAGTCTAAACTGGTTTCTTCCATCTGAGATGGCCACAGGCTAAGAGCACACACATGGTCAATTACCATGGCTCAGTTGATGCATGGTAAGTTGTCAAGCATGTCAGTACGTGAATGAGATCACTCAGTCATGTATTCAGACCATGCAAGTATCATTTTAAACTGGTGTTACATAAAGAAGTGTAACTATGGATATGGACACGTGGACAAATTGGCATGGGGATAACAAGTCTCTGTGTGTCAGCTTTTCCTATACACGTACCTGCAGGAAATGCTAGATGATTTGAGGTAGCCTTGTCCTCTTTTGCCCAGGGGAAAGGTATAGTGAAGGCACAGTAAATTCAGAGCCTGGCTTCCATTGCAATAATGGTTTTAACCTATTTTAGAACAGTTCAGCTCTGCTAAAGTGTAACAAAACAGATTTAAACTACTTCTACACCAGTTAAACTATACCTGTTGCTTAGTTTACTCTGCTTAGGTCAAATCTTTTGCAGGCCAGATCTTTGAATGAATAAGAGACTTTCCATTGCCTTCATAAAGCAATATGTAATAGAGAAGCTTGAGAACCCTTCATTTTAGAGTTCAGTCGAAAAATGAACTTGTATCTTTCTTAAGAACCATTGGAAAAAAACCCAAGACAAACAATAGAAGAAACCCAACAGTCCCAAACTTTCAGCTTTCCTCCCAGGTAACACTAGTTGTCGTACTTCATCCTTGTAGGAGAGCTGAGGAGAAATTTGCTCCTTTCCAACAAGGAGCACAACAGGATTTGCTAAACTGAAATGAAAGACAGAAAAGTTCCAAACCCAGGATGAGCCTGGACCCTTTCAAACGATGACTGAGGTTAGTGAAACAGAGGATCAAACACCACAACTTTGTATACTTTTCCTTTTTATTCAGTATCTTGAACTCAATCTCAGTTAATCTTTCTCTACTTCCATATAATGAAAGGGAAGACATTTGATTAGGTTATGTGAGATCACACGGATTGATTCAACACATGGCTGCAGGACCAGGCGTTATTATCTCTGCTAACACGGACACATTTTGAACACTGCTTCTCACTCTGCTATCAGCCACCGCCACCTCTGCAGTAATGTGACAGCAAGAGAAAAAGGATGGGAAGGCGATAAAGTTTGCCCACGCAAGTAGAAAAGAACTTTCTGTCCAAAGCCAGCTGGCTTGGCTTGGAAATGAAATGGCATTTTAGGATGAGGTGACCTGTTTATATGTGTATCAGAGCTTTGTCTCAAAGCACTTGTCCTAGATGCTATAGCAGGGTCTGTGAAGTAGTTTATCATTAAGTAAGTAACCACGGAAAACAGGTGAGCTGTCTCAGTGCCAGTTTGTCTTCTAAACTGTTTGACAGATAAGAAACCATCCTCAGAGACTGCAACAAATGTGCTGCCGCATTTCATGGTTAGAACTGAGCATATTTTTAGTAAAGGGTTGAGAAAGTATGCAATAATCCTAAATCACAGCCAAGAAAACCATAAACCCCTTAACAAATGCCTGTTCAGATACAGAACTCTGAAATGTGCACCAGTTGATCCATGTTAACACTTTGGTTGGATTTTTAAACTTATTTTCCAAACAAAAGCAAACGTTCAGCAGAGATCGATGGCATTTTTGCCTTTACCTGAAGGGGCCAGAGGGATCCTGTGGGATCATCCTATGTGTACCCCCAAAGGAATCAATGGGAAATACACCGATGACATATTTGTACTGAGGGAGTCTGGACCCCGTTACAATAGGCCCAAAATGCACCTTATAAGCTGCCCAAGCTTAAGAATTAAACTTTATTTCTTAAGTTAACTGCTTTGAAATTTCTGTGTTATGCCTTACACATTATAACAGAGCCACTGTGGGCTCTGGGGATGAAGCTTACAAGGTCAGGGCAATAAAAGCTGCTTTTCACATGCGCAGTTTGGTCAGTGGCATTTACAGCAAAGCAGGTAAATGCAGGAAAAATAACGCTTATACTTGCATTTTAAAAGCAGCTCTAACTGATTGCAGTGGGAGCTGAAGTCTCCTGTGCAAGTCAGAAGCAACTTATCTGGCTTTTAAGAGTTCCATGAGTCTTTTGTCACTTGAAGAGGCCCCATCAACTTCAAACCTACTTTAAAAAGGAGTTCAAAATCTTTCCAGGTATGATAGTCTCCTATATCTATTTCTGTCTCTTTTGTTTCTTAACAGCATGGGATACTGACCACACATACTGCTGTCAAATATAGAAATTAAACTTAGAGTAAAAAGGAGACATTTTCTCTTTAATCCCTTAGAAAATTTTCCAGAATAAAATACAGTTCTTAAGTTTATAATATCCCTTTAAGAATTTATTTGCCAGGTAATGTTAGAAGAAGAAGGACTTTAAGGTCAGTTTGAACATTTAAAAAGACCTCTTTTTAAATCAATTTTGAATCTATATTTAAGATAATGGCAAGCACTGTTTGCACAGGTCTCCAAATGATAAAATATATTCTATATCTTAAGAATACAGGTAACTTTAAAATCCTTTTAAGTGATTTCTAGCTCTTTGGAAAAAGGGCAAGATCTACCTAAGAAATACTTTGTTGAATAAAAATAGTAGTTTAGTGTTGCAATATCTGACAGTCATAGTATGCATAAAGCTACAAAATCATTATCAGATGAAGGCCTGCAGTTTTGGAATAACATGGTAAATACGATTGTTGGTTTTTTTTGAGGGGTGAAATAACACAATGCCATCAGAAGAGAAAAGTACATTCTAATAACAAAAACATTGAATGTAACTATTTTTCTTTAGATCTGCTATGCAATCTGTGTGTTCTCTATAAGATGTCAAACTATACTGTGCATATGTACACTTTGCTCTCTCTATAAATGTACATGTGCATGACACATTTCTGAAAGCAGTAAATGAGTGCTGGGGAAATACAGAAACAATGAAGTTCCTAAGAGAGGCTGATTTTTTCAAGTTATTAAAAGAAGGTGGCAAGCATTCATGAGGATATGAGAATTTAAAGCCGTCTGCAGGAAACTCTGAAAACCTCTGGTTAAGGCTGCTGCCAAAAAATCTCAGCTATGTTATGTCAGAATGTTTAATTGCAAGCTGCAGTTTTAATGAATGGAAAGATATGGCAAAAGCAGGAAGTTTCTGAAGCAACACAGAGCGACCAAGAAAATAAAATACCAAAGGTTGTAATCTTGAATGCTGTTGGAAGCAGGAATTTCCATCCACGCTCCGAGTCCTTTTCCTACTGCGCAGAATTTGCCAGCTGTCTGGCTGAGGGGAGAGGTAAGCTGTTCTGGATATCATCTCCTGGGCTCAGGGCAGCACTTGTTATGTCTACATGAAGAAGTCAGCTTCTTTACGTTTGTCATTATGGGTGTTTACAGAAATGCAGCTTAGGAATAAAGGGAGGAAAGGCAAATGTCAGAGTGCATTAAATAACATATTTTCTTTACTTTCCAAGAAGCTTGCTCGCAGCATGATGTTACTATTTATATCAGATCTCTTAAACCCAGCTGTTGGTTCATGTTAACATGCGGAATGGTGAGAAAATCCCAGCAGAAGAGCGCGAATCCCGGGGAGACTTGTGTTCTGTCATTGTGAGGACCTAGAAAACATCCCAAGTTTTGCTGAGGTAAGGATCAGGCGTGCAGTCGGTGAGGTGTGCAATACAAACACTTCCCGTGTTGATCCTCCAGTATTAGAAGGCCAAGAGCAAAGCAAAGCGAAAAGTGCCAAACGCTGCAACAGTCAACTTCAGGTAACTGAGCCCCTGGCTGGAAAAGTTTGAAAGAGAACTTTTACCTGTAACTCAAACCTGGCAACTCTACTGTACACCCACATTACAGCATTCTTAGACAAGCTGTGTCTGATCTAATCTTATGTACCTTGGCCACAAGTTTTGGAAAAACAAATATTCCCAAGGCAATCAGATTACTGAATGTACCATATAACGATGTGGAAATACTAGTGGTTTACAGAGGGCAGTTTATGAAATGGATTGAGTGATTTTAATTCATGCATTGTCAGGCAATTTGGCCTTAACTAAAATAAGGAAACCTTTTCTTGATTATATCTGTCTTTAGTGGAACACCAGAAGCAAACAGCAGTGTAACAGCAATAATTCCAGCCTCAGACAGGGAGGTCAGGGGACTCTGTTCCAAGCCAGCTTTCTGAGAGTGAACAGCTGTGTCTGTACTGAAGTGGTCATCATGGGGTTAACAGGGTTACCCGGAGTGTTAATGGAAAGGAACCATTATCTGCTCCTCTCTGATTTCCTGCTCCCTAGGTGGGAGTCCCCCCTGCTCCTATCCTTTGTTTCCAATGCAAGTTCCCATCCTGAAACACTTCAAGTACAATTTGGTTTTGTTGCAATAAGAAGTCCTTTACAAAATCTTCATTCATAGAGTATTTCCACCATTGTAAGTGGAACAATGTTAGGAATTGATCTGGCCTGAGATTTTAAGAAACCTTGTTCTTAAAACCTAATTCACAGACCCTCCTTCCCTCCAAAGGGTAACTTGTGTGGCAAAAGCTACAGAACATCCCCTACTCCTCTATAAATTTAAAAGTCCTGAATTTGGTTTATTTTTTTTAATATAAAGTTCACCTTTAAGAGCATAAGATTAAGCATTTTTTTCCAGGACACAAAACCTGATTTCTGGAATATAAGGAACATTTGAAAGGAGGCCTGAGGAACAGCCATGGTACAGCTCTGGAGTGGTTTCTAAGAAGGTCCTAAAACGTAAGTTAAAAGTTAGTGGCAGTGCCTCCAAAATACCTTGAATAGGTGGGTGGAATAGAGATGCAAGGGAAAGCTTTATTGCCATAACAACTGCTGGATGATGACTCTATTCAACTGTGAGGCTATTTAGTTAAAATTAAGAATACTAAGTGACTTTTTCCACCCCTATTTTTCTCTATATTAGCTATTAATGTGCCTTTATTTCTCTTTGGAAAGCATGGAAATTACACTGCCTGTTACTGACCAAGAGAAGAGATTTCAGGTGGTTCTCTTTTTGTCTCTGCGTTGTACATAAGAGGGGCAGAAATGCATTCAGCGGTTGTTCTCTCTCAAGAGTGATCCTAGCAGATGCTTGCAATAATTTCTCACTTGTCATATTGACACTCAAGCGTGATGTTCTCTGGGGCTTTGTTATGTTGCTGCTTCTATGGTTTTAGAAAGATGGTAATTTTTTTCTCTGTAGCCTGGATTTTTCTTAATAACCTGCAACTCTGCATCCTTTGCATTACCCAGGTGCATTTGGCCTTTGCATTTGTCCTGGAAGATAAATGTAATGCAGAACATGGCCATTAAGTCGTGTAATGATTTTAGTCATCTTGGTATCTAAATTTTTGTATGATTTTATTCGTGTCACCCTAAGGGGTGGTATTTTTCATTTATGCTATTGTGACCTGTGAGAATATCTGTGACCTCCCCACCACACATTCTTTTTCACCAGTGGTCCCAAGAGGGGTCTGCAGAAGCAGATGTAGCGGCACATCACCGCATGTGGAAAACAACATCTGTAATTTCAATTGGATGCCATATTTTGCGCTTCCTTTTCTCAATTGTTACAGAGGGCAGCATTTCAATTGAGGGAGGAATGCACTTCAGTGGGAAAGACGCTGCTGTGTACCCCATAACCATTGTTTGCAATCCCTTGAGGAACACATGCTATGCTTATTCTTGTAGTGCCACTGAAAAGGACAGATTAGACCCAATTATTTATCTCTTTGGCTTTCTGCTCTTTTTTTGCCAATTTAGAGCAATACGATTACATACTGAAAATAATGAGAAGTAGTCCTTGCTTAGGCCTTGCTTTGGTGCCTTACTCAGACTCCCACTGACTTTTATAACTTAAAGAGTTCAGGATTTTATCTAACATCTTTTGAGCATATTGCTGTCATAAGAGGATTTCATGGTATTGATCATTAAATGCTAGTAATAGACCTTGCAGATATTATGGATGATAAGCATGGTGAGGAAGAAGGGAATAAACCATGTTCATATAAAAATCAATAACATTTGGACTGTTCATGTTGAGAATTGTAAGGAAACTATGTATTTAAATCTCTTCCTAATTATTATAGGTAAGAATCAGTTTGGAAGTACAATAGTAGGTGACAATTACTTGGATTTTGTTATTTTTTTTCACACTTATTATTAGCTTTTTCCTAAACTCTAAATCCTAAGTCCTGCACTTCTGCTTTGAGGGAAAGGTGGATGTTTGATAACTTGTTCAACTTATTTAGTGGCCATATATTTAAATCCCGAGTAAACTTTACATTATAAACCCTGAACATCAAGATTTCTGTGAGCTGTGAATGCCTGCTTCCATAAGGTGAATGTTTGGAAACTGGATAACAGAAATTGACATTCATTTTTGGGGAATGACCTTGCAGGATCAACCTTTTTTCCTTCCAGTGCTGGAGATTGGTGGATTGGGTCTTTCTGTCATCCTTTCTTGCACCCTGTTTTCTCACCATGTGTGGAGCTATTCTTTTTGTACCCAGTTCATGATGCGGTCTTCTGAATATAAAGAACTCTCCTTTCCACTTTCCAGAGAAAGCACTGTTGATCCTTGTGTCCTGAAGCAGAGACAAGCCCTCTCCATCGGTGATTTAGTGCTTGGAAATGGTTCCCATTGTTTCACTCCGAGGCTGCGGGTACCTTGCAGGATAACTGTGGAGAGGTTGTGGAGTGCAGATGATTTTTGGTGAGTACCTTTTTTATCATAAAAAAAATTATTTTTGGCTAATTCTTCAATCACTGCCGTATGTGAAGGAGAAATACGCCGATTTTATGTCTTTTATTATGTGTTCCAAAGTAGTCTTTTCTACTTAATGGGAACTCTGACAAAGATAACATGAGATGGAAGAACCAAGGTGGACGTCTGTCACCTGAGCCTGAAATGTGAAGATGGAGCTCATGTCCTCATAGAGCAGTGATTCTCACAGGACAGTCAGAAGATAACAGTAAAACCGCTATATAGAGCAGGGAGGCGGTGGTGCCTGTGAGGGTGACGGAGGTAGCCGGGCTGTTTGCAGTTGGTGCCTGGTGTTGGTCTCCTGCATCCTCTGGTGATGAGACCTTGCCAAAGGATGGGTGACCACGTACTGAGACTTGTTTTAATGAACGCGAGGATGTGACTTTGTAACCGAAGAGCCTTGCTGGAGAGAGAGGAGAGCAGGGACCACTCCTCCCTCTGCCTGCACTGCTTAACCGGGGCTTCCTGCTCAGGCGTCTCCGCCTCAGGTGCTGGTGGAGCGGGGGGGGCAGGCCCGAGGCCCCCGGCCGCTCCCCATGGCGAAAAAAAATAATCCGGCGATGCTGGGCGCTCAGACCGCGGTGATCCCAGCCCAGCAGCCGGGTGCAGCCTCCCTTCGTACTCCCCTCCGCTTCCCTCCTTGTCCTGTCACTGCCTGTCTCGGTTGAGCGCCCTCAGCGACGTCCGAGCTGCCAGGAGAAAAGGGCGGAAGGATACTCTCGGGAGATCTGTGCTCCGCTCGGAGTGTGACAGAGGAAGTAGTTCCGGCCCCGATTGGGCCTTGTTTCCCAAAAATAGCGCCCAGCGGGTATCCGTGCGCCGGTGTCAGTGTCTCCTGAGGAGCCCCGGCGGGGAGGCGGCAGCAGCGGCGAGGGGACGGGCGGGTGAGCGAGCGAGGGGGGTCCCGGCTCTGTGGGGCGATCGGGAGCGCGTTCCCGCAGCCCGGCGGCGAGGGTCGGCGGTGGGGAGCGGCGGGCGAACGGGGTCGGGGCAGGGGCAGCGGGTGACGGGCGGGGGCAGTCGCTGAGGGGGCCGGCTGAAGCCGGGGGGAAGAGAAGGAGGTTTTCGGTCCGCCGTCCCCTTGCCGCTGTGCCGCGCCGAGCGGGGCGGGGGGTGCTGGCGGGGAAGTTGTTGCGGGGGGCGGGCGGGGGAGGGGCGCGGGCGGCGGTGCGGGGTCCCGCCGGTGGGAGAGCGCCCCGCGGCCGGAGCCTCCCCGGGAGTTGTTCGCCGGCGGCTGGAGCAGAGGATGGACGTTGTGGATCAGGCCAGCGGGGTCTGCCCGGAGGCTGGTGCGCTGGGGAGACAGGGTGGGGTGCGAGGCCCTGGCGTTCGGGGAGCACTGAGGTAAGAGCGGCTTCGTCCGGGTGGCCAACTTCTGTACTCGGGGTGCGTGTGCGCCTGGGAAGGCGGGGAGGAAAAGTAGCTTTTGTCCTGCTTCTCGGCAGCCACGTTGGGTAAGCAGCAGCACGCTTAAAAACAAACAACAGCAAAAATCCTTCCTAGGAGTCTGTCTGTCGTACGCGCCGGCGAAAACGAGCGGGGGTCGGTTAGGGAGGAGATGAGGGTGGAAATTGTTCAAGTAGTTGTACACCGCATTAAGGTGCGCTGCGAATGGGAGGGGAAACTGTTCGCTAATGTGTAAACTAGAGGATGTTTTGTCCAGAGGAAGGAGATTGAACGTACAGCTGTGTCGTACTGCAAGTAGGATTTTGTGTTCGGCAGCTGTGCGCAGGAGTCGGGAGGAGAGGGAAGGAGACTGTGCTATTTCTGACTGGAAACAGTCGGGTTTTGAGTTTACGGAGCTGTATTTCCCAATAAATCCATAGCGGCTGTTGAGATGCGAGGTGCTGAGGAGAGTGGAATTGCTTAGAAAAACTAAGCCGTAGTGACTTGTTTGACAGGTGATTAAATTCCCGAGTTGAGAGGCTGGAGTTCTAGAGGGGAGGGAAAAAAAAAGAACAAGAAGAGGGTATTTTTAGTGCTTAGTATAAAACCATTGTGTCCCATAGTTATACAAAGACTACGTTTATTATGAACAGTAGGGGAAACGGCAAAAAGGACAAATTTAGGAAGAGTAGTAACGGAAGTGATTTAGTGTGGAATTGGTAATACAGACAGTATTTATCTTAACCTTTTTCACAGCCTGGTGAATTGTTATGGATCATGAGGAAGGCTGTAAGCTTTCAGACTCAATTATGTTAACTGTCTACGTGTAGTTATTCTGTATATGGGTCTTTTTTCATTTTTAGGAACTAGTTACATTTTGATAGGTATTTCTGTTGTCTTGTTTTTTCTAGCTGGTGTTTAGGCAGCCTGTGCAAAAGCTATCACAGCAATAGTCCTATAATCTTGTCTGTCTGTTTCTAAAATAATTTAAAATGCTTATCTCTATCTCTTACATACAAGAAAGTAATCTTTGGCTTTTTTCCCCTCCTCTGTAACAAGTGATTTGCATTTGGGGGAAAAGTGTGAGGTTCCTCTTTTAAACTATTTTTTCCATTTAGGTGCTAGAATATGTGAAAATGACATGTCTTTCAGTTACATAATTTAGAAGAATTGTAACAAAGGATGTAATGTTAACACTTTCGGTCACTAAATGGCCTTAATTATAAATGGTAGTGTAAAATTCTGTATTTATTTAGCTAGCAAAAGAAAAACAAGAGAATGGAACACTATGTCTTGCTGTTAAGGGATTATAATAGTGCTGGGCAGTTGGAGATGAGCCTTTTTGTTTGCACGCATTCAGCTTGGAATTTAGGAAGGAAAATAACCCAGTGCCCTGGTTAGTTATTTTTCTCCTCCATAATTCTTTTCTAAATCTGTAGTTGACGTAGTCCACCAGTAGTAGTAGCGGAGTATCATCGGTGCATGGGAAGAATCCTTCAATGGGAGGGACAGGATCTTCTTTAGAGCAATTTTAGTGTAGGTGGCACAGTGTCTCTTCAGTTTTAATATTTTATCATTTCACATGATTTATTTCTGAGAAGGTATTTACAGACTGTAAACGATGGTAAAATATATTAGCCTTTAGGTCTTATGTTTGCTTATTTTGCTTTATTTTCTTAAGAGTGTGTTTAAGCCAATGTACTTCTCACCTCTGTAAATAAGTGAGCCCATAGAATGCTATGCATATGCACAGGTATCTGGATTTAGCTTCCTATAATTTCACACAGCATTAGTTTCTTTCTCTGCCAAACAAGGGATGGAGAAATAAGTGAACACTGAATTTTATGGTGCTAGGTATCATCTATAGAATTGAGTCACTTTGGACTATAAAGGTGAGAGGGATATGGCTAGATTAAAACTTGAAGTAATTCCAAAGAATAAAATGACTTGTTATGGCAGATCTCTCTTATTTACAAACCTTATTTAAGCTGAAGTGTGCACAGTTTGCCTTGTACTGGTTGATGTGGACAGCTACAGGGTTTATTTCAGAGTGTTAGCCAAGTTTCTCAGATAACTTGTTGATGTCATTCTGTGTATTCTGGGCCTAAATGCTGCTTCGGAGACACTGGAGGCACCATGCAAGCTTGTGAACAATGCCATGCTACCTTGCCTGCTTTCAATCACACCCTATATAACACAATATAGCTGATTAATTCTTTAACAGTGATAAAATTAGTGGAGTATAGTGCTGTGTAATGTGAAAATCTGTATTAGTTTTTCCTAAATAAGACCTATCTTGAATTACTGTAGTTTGTTATGCCCTTGTGATGCATGAGAGATGCCTGTGTTTCAGAGCAGTTAAAAAGTTTCCTAAAAATAAACATTAGCACATTTTACTCACCTCCCCAAATTCCTAAGTTTTTATTTTTAAAGGCCACAGGATTAAATCCTCTCTAAATTTTAGTCTTTGGGCCTTTTCAGTCATGACAGCAGCTTGATAATGTGTGCAGACCCCTGGGAAATCCTTTTCTTTCTCATTAAAACAAAATTTACTTCAAATTAATTGGAACATCATGTGGTGACATATATATTATGTAGCTTATAATGCACCAAATTGCTTTATTTGTTGTATTTCTTGTATTTGAAAGCTGTTATTTTACATGTGTAATAATGTGTTCTTCAATTGAGCAAATGGGGCTAAAGTCAAAATCTCTGTGACAGTAAGGGTGGATTTTGCTGCCTGTTGTCTTGTGTTCAGTTTGATTCCTTCAGCTTTGGTAAAGTAACCAGAAAAAAATGAATGCAGCATTCTTTTTTCTTTGTATGCTTTGCTGCTAGTGCTAAAGGCTAATGCAGTAATTATTTGAATGGACTTGCCAATGTGGTGCTGTAGTGGTCCTGAATATGGGTTTAGTTTAACTATTTCTCCTGTCATGTGAAATGAATGAAGTCTCCAGAGATGCAGTCAGATCCTGAAATAACTAAATATAGCTGCCTCCTTCCCTGGATGTTTACCAGGTGGTTTTGGTGTCTTAGGAAGTTTGTAATACTACAGCAAGACATTCTTTTGCTCCCCCCCCCCAGGTTAATTTTGTTGAGCTGCCAGTAAAAGACTTCAGGAACTTTTTTGGACAGCTAATCAAAATATATTTTAGGTCATTGATGCAGTCTCCAGTGAATGAACAAAACAGTGTTACTCTGAGTTAAAAACAGGCTTCAACTGTGTAATATGACAGTTGCCCTCCCCCACCATATGTTCTGTGGTAGAGTACCAGCTAATAAATAATGGCATGGAGGGTCAAGTTTGCAGCCTGGAATAGTGAATTTTGTTTTAGGTGTCTGATCTAGATTTCTACTTCTTACCACCCCTCTGCTGTGGTATACTCTTATTTTAATGTTTGCTCTTTCCAGTTACTGTTTACAGAGTTAAAGGGATATTTTTTTTTCTCTTCCATATTAAGGGACTAATTTTTGTTCATCAGCTGTCTTGTTTCAGTTTCTGTTTAATGGCTCTGTGAGAATTTTTGTGGATTTCTTTAACTCGAATCTTTTTAGGAACATGTTACTGTATACTCATTTCCATTTGTCACTAAAGTGTGCATGCAAGACAACTTTGTTCCTGAGATTTCATTCCACCCGCCCCTGCCAAAACAGTCACGGAGTTGGAATATTTTAAATTGTATTTATGGTAATCTTTTTCCTTTCTCCTTTTATCTGTAATCTGAGGCTGCAGTGAAGAGTTTGACAGGAATGACTGTCGGGTAAAGACAGCAAAATTTTGTGGTCAGTCTTCTTTCCTCAGAATTCAGATGCAGAGCCATACAGAACCTTTTCTACAGAAAGCACTATGCTTTTTTTCCCTGTGTGTTATAACAGTACAAGTGTGCCTATATGATGAGAAGAAAATACATCCTTCTTAATAAGAGTGTGATTAATTGAATTATTTTTCAGGAAATTAACTACTTTATATTCAACATGTTAGTGGTGCTTAATTAGGTGGGTCTCCCAGTTCTATTTGACTCTGTCCCTGAAGAGCTTTTGAATTCTGCCAAAGTCCTGTTGGGCCAACCTAGAGACGTAAAAATGTATTCTGTATTGCTTTGTGCTCAGCTGAATTTCACTAGTAGCTACTAAGTATTGTTGCATGCCTATTTTAAGTATACTAAGGTAAAAAGGAAGTGTTAGGAATTATCAGCCAAGCATAGTTGTGGAAAGGTGCTTGCTTTAAGTATCTGTGTACCAGGCACTGATGACAAAGCATCTTTTACTGTGCTTTTTTACCTTATTTTTCTTCCCCTAATAAAGAGCTAAATAACCAGGAGCAAAATGTGTTGTCTTCATTGTGGTAGTCAGAAATCACCTGAAAGAGTGGGGTGTAGAATGGCTGCGTTTGTGCTTTTCCTTTTATGATAATAGGAAGAAGGTTTTCTTCAGTTACTTCAAATCCTTTCAAGTGTTTTTGAAACTTGGCTTCATTTGAAAGCCAGATTGCTTCTAA